CCCCAAAACCCCAAAACCCCAAAACCCCAAAACCCCAAAACCCCTTTAAATATCAATTTTTTGAAATAATTAGATGCAAACCAAAGCTTTGAACTAGCATTTTCATCTTATTCCTCTTCTTCCTCACCATTGAAGTCATCAAAGTCGTCAGTTTCAGAAGATTCTCTCTGATCGTAGTCATAGAATGCTTTGGCATCGGTCAACATGCTGATGACGACCTCGCCAACACCTCAATTAATGAGATCTTGTCATGTGATGCACTTAGGCATCTCAGGTTTGATCATATCCCAGAGCTCATCTTTGACATCATCTACCTTGAAGCCACTCTTGTCTCTGTTCTCAAGCATCTCAATAACATTTCTGAAGAACATGTTGATGACGAATGTGTCAATGGCACCTTTATTATACACATCAAGGATCCTCCAGAAGTACTGGATAGATTGGGAAGTCTTTTTATTCTCCATGGCAAGTACAAAGTCAAGGAAGGTCTTGTAATCCATCTCACCTTCGAAGGTCTGGTACTCTTCGAAAACTCTGTCTATGAAAATCTTCGTCAGCCCTGAAGAGTACTTGGCAAGCTCTTCCTTCTTGAGCATTCCGTTGTGGTCACCGTCAAGTTTGAGGTATTGGTCATAGACTCTGAGGGAGGACTGAACAGAGAACCAGTTCTGAACAGCATCTTCCATGTTCCACCTATCCTGCCTGAGCTCGTAGAGCTCAGCCAGAATAGGGCTAGTGAGCATGTCTTTGATCAGAATTTTCCCTGTCCTCTTAGGATCTAGGAAAAAGAAGAACTTTCTGACTGCGGTAATCACATAGAATGGATAGAAGTTCTCCTGCAAGTTCTGTAGCTGTGGGAAGGTCGGCATTAGCTCGAATATATAATTTTCCAGATCCTTTTCTTTCAAGTATCCGTACCCACTAGAGTCATACAGTGAGATTTGAATTCTGGTTTGGAACAAATTGACTTTCCTGACGACATAGTGAAAGAAAGGAACAATCTCGATCCTACCATATTCGTCCCTCTCGAATTTGAGGAAGGTTGAGGAAGTGAAAAACTGCCTTCATTTTGGAGGGAGCATGCTTGAGACATATACAAACTGGTCATAATTAATCCTTTCTGTGCCATCTTCAGGCAGAGAAACATTTTCTTTTAACAAAAACCACAGTCTTTCTAAGTCCTCCTTGTCAAGCACCTCTGCAGTCTTGTTCTGAAGGAACCTGGTCCTTGCTTCTTGGCGGACTCTAAAATAGAGGGAGTTCTCATTGGATGGCTTCTTATAGAAGAACCTTGGGATTGTCTTATAGGATGGATCTTTTTCCTCTTCAACCTTTCTCTCCTCTTCAAGCAGCCTCAAGAATTCAATATCGGCTTCCTTGTCATTCTCAGCTGGGGTCTTATGGACTTTTCCTTCATTATAGGACTTAAGGGCAGCAACCCACTTCTTCTCCATTTAAATTTTTTAAATTATATAATTTAGCTCTCTTTTTGAGGCCTGATATTGGGGTTTTGGGGTTTTGGGGTTTTGGGGTTTTGGGG